TTTTTAGGTGACATTATTATGCAGACAGAAGGACAGGCACTCCACCAAACATCATAACCTGCATGATTTTAACATAAATGAATGTATGACCAGATGATCGTTTTCAGATTTTAGATGTTTATAAGGAAAATAGCAGTTCATGTAATGGCTCTCAATGGTTATGATGGAGAACTCTCAACAGAAGCAGAACTTGGCTCATGTACTTCCCATTCTAAATTAGCTGACTAGAATTTACTTACAAAGGGTGATTACCCAGTTGATCTTAGGAAGTGGACAAGACTATTGCAACACAAATTCTGAAGACAAYAACAAGACTGATTGCTGTAACATGAGAATGATATCTGATTGAGCAGCTAATTAATTTGTCTGATTGTAATAGAGGTATTTCTTTTATACTTGATTACAGTACCACAGTTCGTTGTAAATTACAGCTGTTTAAGTCTTTCACCAAAATGCCAGAAACCACTAAAAGCCAAGCATTCAGGAACAGGGCTGTCAAAAWGCCCAGCTATTTGGAGACTGACGACTAGTTCAGTATGCTAAATTGCTGATTTACACAGTATTCTAGAAGTTTCTTCTGACAGGTAAGTCTAATATAGTCAAGAATTTGTGTTCAGGTTTCAGTCCTCGGGCTAATACATTCTCAGACAGTGTGGCACCTAACTGCCAAGCACTAACAGAACAAAACAAACCCACCACACACCCATGAGCAAATACAGTTAAACCAAATGAGTTCTCTGGACACCAGAGCCACAGAGAAATTCTCATTCTGCTTCCAAAGACACACAAAAAACGTGGTACCTCAAAGTGTCATCCTTCCTCAAAAGGAAGATACACACTTCCTATTGTGGAGAGCCAACAGGGCTCTAACTTTCCAAGATCTAGCCTACTTTAGACTATCACGAAGAAAAACATTTTTAAGTATCTACATTTTAAATGCCACTTAGCTGTATACATTATAATAACAACAACATTCTAAAAGGTTCGGGGCTGTGTGGATAACTCCTACATGTATATTAACACTTGTCTAGACATCTCTCAAGTTAAACAAGTTATCATATACACAGTACTAAAACTATAGTTTTAGGTATGCCTTTCTATGCTTTGGAACAGCTTTACAGCACGAAGCACATTGTCAACACCAACAGCCTTCAAGTGTTACCATGCTGCTTTACAATAATACACCATATGTTAACTGTGCATATTACTCAACACTATAGCAACGCTGCTGTGGTTAGTACAGAAATAGATTAAGCACATTGAGGGGAAGTTAATGAGTATGGCCCATTTGTACGAGACTGGTGCTCAACAAGAAGGGTGCTGCTCACATAACCGGGTTGGTTGTACACGCAGCCCACACTCTGTCTCAGAGGTTGACCACCTCTGTCCCTGAAGCAGAAGACCTGTCCCAGGTCCCAGAAGCAATCTGGCTCAAAAAGCAGTTACTCACAGACTAAGTTTCATACAATAATGCAGACATGCCCATAATCTCTGGAAGAATTTCACTCATATATGAATAAAACAATCAAGAATTTCAGGACCACCAGAACTCCCTGAAGAGGATACGTTGCAGGGATGGTGAAGGATTCTACAGCTAAAGGTGTCCAGCCTGACACCTCTCAAACTGCAGTAACTTTTCTATTCCTAAACTAGGGTGGCAACAAGGCGTAGTAGTTGAGATTTGCAAAGAGATTAAACTGAATGTCATTGCATACATGCAAATAATTTAACATTATTTGCAAATAATAATGGGCCAATACATTTATAAACCAAATCTCAAGAGCTGTCTATGAATTCACACAGTCACTTGCAAACACAGAAGCTTGCATAAAGTGCCTGAAGATCAGCTAAATTCAGGAAGCCCAGGGGAATTAAGAGATCTGAACTGCAGGGATCTATGCAAACCCAGTTTCAAAATTCAGCATTTGTCTAACAGGAACTTCTAGAAATTTCTAAATGACCTTGAATTAGACACAATACTAGAATGTCTCCATACAGAACTTGGATTTGTTTGTTGCAACTTCTAACTCTCAATCTAAAACCAAGAATGCTTCAGGAATAAGAATACTTAAGCTGCAATACGTATTTCTGAAAGCATTTAACAAGCAGTACATACCCCAAAGTGTCACTTACAGYTAGATAGCAACAAGATACTCCTTAAAGGATCTGCAACAAGTGCCACATGTAAACCAAAACACATGGAAATCTCAAAGCAGTATCATTTAAGTTTTAAGGATGTAAATTTCAGTAATCTACTCACAGCTGCTAGATTATGCATATTGCCTAAATCATCACAGATTTTGAGGGAATCTGATTAAAACCACTCTCACTGTATCATAATGATAGCACAGCGACAGCATCATTTTGGCATTCCTTTGCTTTTTAGGACACGTTTTACTGCCTATTCTCAGTCATCTGTTTATTTTTGGCTCATTTTTCTAAATACTGAAGCTGCCCTATCAGTTTCACAGGCTTATAAATGTTATACATCAAAAATTAGTTTCACTTATTAAAGCAGGAAACGGCTTTAAGAACTCTGGGATCTGTGCCTCAAAGCAAAAGCTTTATCAGCAGGTTCCAGTCACTGCTTCTCGCAAAAGAAAATGGTGCCGATTAAAAACCCATACACCTGATTGCTAAAAAAGAACACCTMCCCACTGAATGTTTTTCATACGGCAGCAAGGGCGCTGTACCCCAAACAGAAGGCAGCTCATTTCTCTTATCCTCCCTAACCCTGCAACATGGCTCAAGAAAAATGAAAATATACATAGAAAGATGCGGCCCAGATAAAAGAATACCAATTCATCCGGTTATTTATCAGGATTTCGTAAGCTTCGTACTTCAATGCAGTCAGAGCACAATTCACTTCTGAGTGTGACAGTATCAGGCTTCGAAAGAGACACAATGAAACCAAACGCTTCATAAACTAATTAATTTCCAAGTATTATATAAAATGAAAAGTCACATTTCTTTACACTGCAAACACAGGAAAGGTCACGTTTTTAATCAATGCCATATCAAGCTGTGAAGACAGCATTTTATTAATTGTGCTTATATACAAACAATGTTGTTTTAAACCAGCCTGTCCCATAATTGAAACCTTTTCTACCGCTCTTCACTCAGAATTACTCATTGTAAGATTTTTCCTTACAATAGAAGTAAATTAAAAGATCCATTAAAAAATACAGACTCTTCAAAACCACAAAGAAGAAAAACAATCTTGCAGGGGGTTAATGCTGCAGATCTCCACAATAGGAGAGCCCCAGTGAATTCACTGGGATTCTGTGTTCACAGAGCTCCTCATGAGTCATTTGAGTTTTCCTTTTCTCAACATGCTATTTATTCAGATAAACCCACTTAACCAAAACCAAGTCAAGGCTGTGAATACTAATAGCGCTCCAAGCATTTTGTYTTCAGAATTACAACATGTTAATATTTGAAAGTCAACAATTTGGAGCTAATGTTCCACAAATAAAAAATATATTGTTGTATATATTGTTGTAGCACCTGGGATATGTTAGATGCTGTACAATTCCATGGCTACCAAAATCAGATAGTAGTTTATCATAAATATTACAAAACCTTAGAACTTCTTACATTAATTTGTTTTATAGTCAAACAATTTGCACTGGAACCTCAGTATGTTTTATTGATTATGATACACTAACCACTTAGAATAGATGGTATGATCCATTTGTGAAGGAGAATAGTAAGAATGTTTTAGTATCTATACATAAAAGGTAATATAACAGTATCATTATAAGACGACAGGCAGACTTAAAGGGCACATTAATTCTACTTTAATTCTACTTTCAGTCATGAACTGTCATTTATGTGCAATGAGGCTTTACCAATGAAAACATGGAAAATGGAGTCCAGAAATTTGCAACTATCCTGAGTGACTAGCCAGGTCCGGGTGTTTCTAATGAATGTGCAGGAATAACCTTCAGGAATGGTGAGCTTTACAGGCAATATTAATAAAACCAAGAAAATTAWTTTTTGCCATTTGTCTTTAAAATAATCTTAAAAGTATTAAAATAGGTTTAAATGTGTAATCTTACATCAAATCAATTACAGCTTCACTTTACTGTAGCTAAACATTTTTACATTTGCATCAAAATGATAAATGTATCAAAATGAATTTTATCAAAATGAGAAGTACTCAGACTTTTTATTTACCCTTTTAGCACCTTTCAACGTCACTGTATATACTGCAAGTGTAAAATCGTAGTTATCTCTGTGTAGATAGAAAAGCATGGAGGACAGATAACTGAAAGCAAAAACCATGTAGAAATTAAGAATTTTAAGCGGACAGTTTTTCCATTCATCTAGCCTTCTAGCATGTTTTATATATTTTACACATAATAATATACACACACGCACACCTTAAAAAAAACTTATCTGAATTCAAAAGTATTCTAGCTCTTCCTTTTATCTTGATTTTGTTGATTCACATTTTCCTTCTCTGCACAAAGCGATGGGAGCTCAACAGCTTACACAGATTTCAGAGCCAGACCACTGCTGCCACTAGCTACCATATGGGCACCAACCAAACTGTATTTCTCATACCAAACCTCAATTCAGACAAGCATCTGACAGATTCCTTGCCAGTTTAAGCTTGCTCAGCCCTTTGCTCAGCCCTGCATACAGATCCAAGCTTAAAGGATCCAACTTTGGCAGCAAAGCCACATAACCTTCACAAAACTACTCAGATGTACTAGCTAACAAGACAGTCTCATGAAAATATTTAGTTTTCACACCTATACTTACTTGGAGTCTTGTATTTAAACTAGAAATGATTTTTTCAGCGCAAAAGAAATACTCATTCATTTTATAAATACCACTCTAAAGCTTTATCAAGAAGTCTTGACATGAACTTGTTAGATCCCTACCTTTCTGCAGGCTTCTCAAGTCACAGATGTTTTTCAGAGAGGGAAAGCAAAGAACAGCATGTACAAAACCAAGTGTTTTCTAAGAGCTTTTGTTAACAGGACACTTACCTCCCGAAGGGCCAATCTATCACTCAGCTCCTCTGCTTTATCAATGTTACCTTCCGCCACAGACTTCTCAATGCTAAGTTCAAGGCCAGACTAGAAAGAACAAAAATAAGAGTCTTTAGGATACAAGAAATAATACTTCCAAAGTATCTCATTTTCAAGTAGTATTTCTTTCATAAAATTCTTTATTTTAGAACATTCCATAAACATGTTATCCCTCTGTAAAACAAATAATTTTGTCTCTACTGTAATGGGCAGTATAATTAAGATTTCATTCAAAGGCTGTCTGTCAAATCATTGCATGAGTTGCCCCTTATGTGCATAATACCACAGGTTAAAAAAAAGATTACACAGACTAGTTTATGCCTGTCACAATAAAATTTCATTGAAGATCTGGTTTATCTATTCCATCCCTGGAGGAGCTTTCTAAGCAAAATGTGAAATGGGTGTCAGGTAACAGGAAGAATGGCAATTACCACAACATTGTTACAGTTCTAAAAGCTGAATTCTGGCACGGTGCCACTCTACTGTACTAACAAAAATTACATGGGACTGCTAAAATTTGGAAACAATGGAATTGCCTCACAATTATTTAGACCTCTGAAAACAAGGAGCTAACCTTTAGGATCAACATAACTTCTAACTTATTTAAAGAACAAATTCACAATATATGTAAACGGCAAATAAATACTAAACAGAACTGTTAAGTGGACGTTTCTGAAGCAATAGCCAGTTGTCAGATGTCTCTTCCTGAAAAGATTTAGCAGGCCAGCAATACAATCTGTTAATTTAGGTGAAGAACATATGCATTCAAGCATATTTGGACCTTATTCCAGACAAATTCAGGGTAGTTTAAAGAAAACTGGAAGAAAACAAAACACAGAACATAAAGGGAAAATGATGCTAACTAAACATTTGACATCAAATTTACAAAGGCCTCCACTGGAAGAGGTACAGAACGAGCAATGTTTTAAGAATGCCTGAATAACAAGTTTAACTTGTCTATCTTGTTGGAGTGTAATTTTCTTAATATGGCTAGCTATACAATACTTGTGAACAGACTGAGCACACACACACCAGTAGTTAAGTATGCAAAGAATTTCTCATGATGTTATAATAAAAAACAGAAAGGAAACAGTCACACATACCATGCATATTATTCTTCAGAGAGATGTAATCACTTATGTACTTTTAAACTGTCTCAGTTCTACTGCTMTTTCATTTAAGGTGACTTTTCTTTTTTAAATTATGAGCACAAGGCAACATTGGTTTTATATCCACAATTACCTTTTGTGGAGCCCTGCTATTCGCAAGTGTTTCAAATCTGTCATTGATTCCAAAGTATTGTGTAAGCTCTTTCCAATGCTCTTCATTTGCCAACTGTTGACTACTTTGACTACAAAAAATAAAAACAAAAAACCACACAAGAACAAAATTTATTATAACAAGTTTGCTTTCCACTGCTTGTAATATTCTCTTCCACACTAAAAGAAACTGTCCATTAAGCAGACATGCTCTTTTCATCCACTCATTTTTATAGAAATGAAATCAATTACTTCACCTCTCCACAATTTCCCCTTATATTTATAAGCCTTATATTTAAAAGCAGATCTCAGATAATCACACCAATCTATTTTTACCTCTCAGTCACTTCATTGTTCTTTTTCAGTTTTTCTGTAATAAAAACAACAACAACAAAAAAAAAGATGTCACACAGCAGCACCTTACAGCATCCAATGAAGTTAACAGAATTCTAATTGGTGACATTCTCTTAGAAAGATTAACATACTAGGATTTATTGCCAGAAACCATGTGTATCTAAACAACTCCATTAAGTTTTTTTCCTGTGAAAAGTCTACACTATCCATGAAGAAAACCTGTAATTGGAAGATACAAAAGTCTGTTTTCTAGAGTGACTGAAATATAGTTAGTCATTATAAATAAGGACTAATAACATTTAAGAATACTATCTCCTTTTTAAAAGGCACATAAGAAGGTTACTTAGTTGGTAATCGACTATAAAAACAAAGCACTAGTTAAGAGCACTGAGACAACATCTACTCAGACATTACACTACAGTTCTTGGAGACGGAAATAAAACAAAACAAACAAACAACCTCCAGCACATCTCATTTGCAATTTATTCATATTAATACAATTTTGAGAAAATAAGTTCTGTAATTAAATGAACCACCTTTTCTGCGGCGCTTTCTTTTTTGGCCTCTGTTTGCCCGATCTGGTTGAGTTTTCATTTCACGTTTTCTCTTCTGAAGCTCCAAAAATTTCTACAATATGAAGAGATGAAAAGATGCAAAGGTTTTTTTCTTTTTTTTTTTTTAAATCATGACGTGCTGAGAAATTCTGTCCTAACAGCTCCTTTATCCRTGATACTTTCCTATACCTATTACAGTAAAATTATGCCCCAAGTTACCTGGCTCTGATGGCAAACTGCAACTGGCTCTCATCTTTATATCCCCTGACCTCTCTGGCTTTCAGCCCTCTTTACACGGTAACAGAGTCCCAGTAGCTGCACACTCCTAAGGCATTCAGCACCTTGCTGAATGCCTCAGGAGTCAGCTGCACACTTCCTGAGCATTCAGCATCAATAGCCGTTTAGCATACAAGCAGACCAACAGTACAGCAGGCGACACATAAGGACAGGGAAGAGTGCCCAGTTTTTGCCAATTTCTTATTTGGATTCAAAAGCTTGAAATTTAGGCTTTTTTTTTTTTTTTTTTTAATTTTCTCAGTTTCTACATGCAACAAGAGCATAAGCAACTGTGAATCTGAATGGCTGTAACTACTCCTTACAGAATCAGGAGAGCACATCTCTACTTTGCAGATCACAACCATCAATCGAGTGGCTGCTATACACAGCTACAAATTTCTGTCTTTTACATTAATAAGGCTCAGAGTCCATATTCTRCCATGGACAGAAATCTTAGTGCAACTGCATAATCTACACACTTCCTTGCTGCGCTTTTACTATGGCACCAGTGCACAACAACAACACACAAAACATCAAAACACTCAACATGAGTTGTTTTCACTATCAGCAATGCAGCTTTAAGTAGACTGCATTTACACCTGGACATTTACAAACACATAATGTTACCCACATTCCACATGTTTAAAGGAACTCCAGCAGGGCATGTTTGACYGTCATTTTCTCCATCTGTCCCCATTACCAAAGGGGGGTTACTGACAGTACTACTTTCAGCTTCGCTCTCCTGGAACCCAGGAAGCTGAACTGKTTTAATATCTTCTTTAGTATCTTCTGGTGAGCAGGATATCGCAGWATCCAAAGCATCCCCATCATCAGAACTTAGGTCAACGTCACTCTCATTCAGCCCTGGGGGCAACAGCCCACTCCACATCTTCCAGTGGARATAAGATCAGGTCACTCCACATCATCACAACGACACCAGACTAAYGCGCTACCCATCTTCAGATGGGAAYATTGTCAGCCTGCAGRAAATTGAAAAACAAGAGAACACACTATCATAAACACCTTAATTTCTCCTGAGAACACTACTACCGTGAGAGTCGTTAGATAAGCTCGTTAAAAAGCTCCCAGCACTATTTAAGCAGCAGAGGACCGAAGCGAACGGACTAAAGTTAACCCAGGTAAACGCCTCGGCACTCACCCTGCCGCGCCGCGGCTCCCCGGGACGGCGCAGCCGCCTCCGCTCGCCCGAGCGCCGCGAGCCCCGGGAGAGGCCGGAGCCCGYTCCGGGCAGCGGGACACCGGGGAAACCATCGGGACCAGCACCGACCGCCACGAGCGAGACTAGCGCCGGCCACGGCCACCTGGGCGACCCGCGACACCCCCGAGCACCCGAGCCGCGCCGCCACCAGCCATGTTTACCTCACCGCCATCTCCGCACGCCGCAACATGCCGCCCGCCGATTGGGCCCCGCCCCGCAGCCAATCAGCAGGAGCTTTGCTGCCTCGGGCCCKGCCTGCCGGGTCGCCATGGCAACCGGCTGGGCCTACCGGCTCCGTGCGCGGGGCCGGGGCCTGCGGCGGGACCCGCGGCCTGCAAAGCGGCCTCGAAGCGGCCGCTGCCGGGCCGGGTGCCCGCTCCGGGCCCGCGAGTGCTGCCGCACGAGCTCCTGAGCGGCCGCGAGCACCCCAAAATGTGTAGTCATAACAGCAGGTCCCTGTGGGAGCGGCAGACCTGGTTGCCACGCTGCAGTAGGGCAGTGGCAGCCGTTCAGAGGAACAAACCCACAGAAACACGATAAAAAATGTTTATGCTGGGACTAACTGGTTAGGGCCTGTGGCTTCACTCAAGGATAGGGAAAGAAAAAAGAAAAAAAAAACCACTATCCCAAATGTCTTGCATTGATGTGGTAAAAGAGAAATCCTTGATGAGCTTCGCCCCGGATGCTGCAGGTTGTGGAGCAGCTTGTAGATGCCAAGCTGGACTGTTCATTAGGGTGCTCCGAGGATGCTGAAAAGCCCTCGTGGAAGCTCYTCTGGGCTTGTGATCGAGGGAACGCCTGGTCCCACAGCAGGCCACGCAGAAGGTGTCCCGAGCACGCTCAGTCTGGAAGCTTCCACTTGGAGCGGCATTTTTGACAGAAAGTAAACAGTAGCAAGAAGGAAATTGCTGACATCAAATAAGGGCAAAATGAAGTTGTGGAGAAACAGTTCAGCTGTGGGAAAGGAGAAGGGGGCAAATGGTTAAGTATTATGAAATAAAAAGAGGGAAAACAGGCTCTACTTTGAGTAGGGATTTCCCKTGTAGATCACAGCCTCTGGCATTGGCTGTACATGGAAGGGAAAAATAATCACCTTTCTCATGGACATAGAACAGGATCTTCAGAATTGCTTACTTTTTATGCCACAGTTTTGCACCCTTGGATTCATTTCTGAAATCAATTAATTCCRTAAGTAATCACTTTTTCATGAACTACATGTAAATTTCACACTCAGCTTGCTAACCATTTTTTCCTCTCATCTGGGAAATCAATTTTTAAGAGATTTATTTTATTTACATTTAATAATTGAATCTATTTGGTATACAGACTGGCAAGTGGTAATTAATAAACGTATTGATATTGGATAGTCATTGGCATTTATTCTAGATAGTTGTTACACTACTCATCTGAATGAGGTTTCTTAATGTTACCTAATTTGAGATCTCTTCAAAAATGTGATGTCTTTATGATCTGTAAATTCATGTTTGGTAGTTTATCATTTGTTTCATGACATAGTTTGTATCTTCAAAAGTTGTGCTCCTAATTTAGCATCTGCAGTTCAGTTTTTGGCACAAATTGCCCTGCTCATGCACATAAATGAAGTACTCAAACTTACACTTGTTGTTCATTTTATGATTACAAATTTATCCTATTTGCCATTTCAGGAAGCCAAAATTCAGAATAAATCTCCATTCTGCTGCAGCAAATTCTGACTTTAGCAAGGATCCTTGTTTGAGAAAAGACATCAAAAGACTCCTTCCTGGCTTTCACCATCTAGAAGCATTTATATTCAAAAGGTCAGTGTTGGCTAAAGCTACAAAAGTGGTTGTTGGCTACTAACCAGAATTCRCAACTTACTCTGCCTTTGTTTGAAACAATCTGTGCACAGTGTTTTTATGCGTGGTAAAAAGGGGGCACAACCTTGTGAGCAGCATTCACAGCTTGCTTGGTTTCAAATCCTTCATGTGCCCATTTTCACAGCCTGTTTCAAGAAATATTTGGATGATCTGATCTATTGCATGTTAGTCATCTGCTCTAGCTGCGTTTCTCGCTTAAATTCCAGTCTCGGAGACCTGCCAAGTGATGACGCTTACGAAGGAAATACGTCAGGCTCTGACATTCCCATGGAACACTGATCTAGTACAATGCCGTAATTACAGGCTACATATTTTTTATGCTATTACTGAAAATTAAGGCAATAAACTTCAGAAGGAAGGCCTACTGCAATTAGGCATAATATTAACTTCAATTTGAATCTTTCAGGATCGCTATGGATTTCCAGGTTCTAACCAATTTTCTCTTAATTCTCCACATTTCTTCCCTACATTTCTTTGTTCCCTACATTTATACATTGGTGTTTCATATTTCCACATGTTACTTTTAGTTTCAGGTGTGTTAGCTTAGTTTCTTCAGTAAGACATTAGTCTCAGCTTAGTCAATATATTGTCTTACAGGATCAGGAGTTTCCTGCAGTGGGAATCTCTGTACCATAAAATATRTTGTCTGTTCAGGAATTGGTAATGGAAGCTGTGGGGGTTGCTCTTTTTACTTAATAACAATTATTAGCGCAAAACACTATGGTTCTTTTAGTTCATCTTGCCCTCAGATAGTCTCCTGATAATTTGATTTCCTTGAGCAGAAGATATCCTGGATTCATTCCGATACCAAATCTGGGCTTCAGGTGCTTTAGCTTTAGATACTGTTTGAAAGGACAATCACACCACCRCCACCACAGCAGCACACTTGGCAGAGTGCAATGCATCAAGTTTTCCTGTTAAATAATGTGATCCCTGTGTTTATTTGAATTTAAACTTTAAAAAACAGWATTTTTGTTCATTATAGTCACGGAAAAAGCTAACAGAGGACTTTATTTAAAGCARTTAAGGAAGCACTGCGATTGAAATTAAAACCAACAACTTCTAAGTCTTGAAACACCTGCATATTTAATGATTTACATTTTCAATTTATATTTGTTAAATGGCATTCTGTCTACAAAACATCCTGTCTATTTATTGCTGCCAGAAATGGAGGTACATTTGAATGGTTGGTTGACATGTTTGTACTGCAAAATAGAGTTTGAGAGTGTATCTGGTTGTCAAAGTAGGTACTAAGAGTCCAGAAACTGAGGTCTGTTCTGGGCCTCCCATTGACTTCTTATATTTCYTTTACAGTTTACAGTTGGTCATAGATATAATGAGAATTAACACACCTTCGTGCTGATGTACAGTAAACACTTTTAGGAGAAAAGCAATGTAGAGATTCTAACTATTATCTGAATTTTAACTATTTTATCATCAGGCAAATATGACCTCTTGATTCAGTTTGATTTTATTGATCAAGAAACCATTTTGTTCTGAATTTACTGATACTTTTTTATTGAGAGGCAGTGCTGAAATTTAAACCTTTCTTACCATTCCTAATTATACCTGCCTGTTCTCTTTGGTGGGTTCTGACATTAGAATTTTCTCCTCAGACTAATTAGACCTTAAATTGCTGGACTTCTGTGTCCTGAAGTTCAGAATACCAAAATGCTGCTATAAGTTATGTATTATTAGCTGCCGCTTGTTTTTTAGCAGCATATGTATTATTAGCTGCTGCTTGTTTTTTAGCAGCAAATAAAAACATCAAAAATTTTCCATAAATGTGGAAATATCCTCCATTTTATCCTTTTGAGACTGTTTTGGAAATACGTTGCAATGATTAAGAACTGAATACTTGTTTAAACATAATACRCAGACTGTATTGTATTAGCAGATTACAGTCATTGTGTTAGTGCCCTATCTACCTTATGTTAATTTTTACTAACATAATGAGAATTTTTGTCTAGCGTGCTTGTGTTTTAATACAATAAAATAATGTAGGAAAGGAAAATTATATGATTTTAAAGAGATGCAAAGACAATAAAATGACCTGTCTTTCTATAAACTTCTAATTATTACTAACTTAAAAAATACTTTTTATTAATCCTTTAAAATAATTACATTCAAATGAGCATTTAAAGTCAGTTAAAAGGGATTACAGAGGGKTTTTTTCACATACTGTACCATATAAGCACCAAATTAATTCTTACTAAACAAACATTACAAGAACCATCATAGAGACAATTAATGGAAATCTCCAAAGAACATTATCTAAGACAGTACATTAAAGTATATTAGTAAATATTCTATAGTATATATTATAAGTAGCAGTGATGTTTTGTAATATGAGCTCTCTTCCTCGTTCATGGTAAGACTTCAATCCAGGCAGGCCCCTGCCTGAACCCTGGGCAAAACCCCATTAGAGTCAGTGCAGAGATTTCCACTGACTTCTTTTAGTTTGGATTAGACCCTCAGCGTGAGCGCAAGGCGGTTACACTGAAACACAAATTGGCAACGTGGGTACTAGACGTTGTCTTTTGTGCATGGATCTAAGTCCCAGTTCCTTGTATTCTTGTTCCCATGTTCTCAAGGACTCTACGCAAAAAGAGGAAGGGGATATAACAAAGAATAGTGTTCTGAGGAAAAATGGGCTTAAGTATAATCCCCTGTGTACAGTTGAGAAGCTTTGCCATGTACTCCTTTCTTAGTCCTTATTGCTGCTCCTAGCCAAGAAGAGCTCCATGGTCAGTCAACGGGACTCTTTGTTAGGCGGTAGCAGAGCAGGTCTGCTCAACATTTTCTAAATGTGCTTGTTTGAGAGCACTCTGTAAAGAAACAATGTAGGATCAAGCYTCAAGCTTTTACCGAGAAGGTTGTCATACCTTCACTTATTGTGTCCTT